CCATTCTTTTTTATGAATGAATAATATTCAGTTTTACAGATAAACCACAATTTGTTTATCTGTTTATTCATTCATAAACATTTGAGCTGCTTCCATCTTTTGGCTAATGTAAATTGTATTGCTATAAACATTTATGTATAAGCTTTTGTTTGAACACCTGTTTTCAGGTTTTATACCTTGGAGTGGAATTGTGGGGTTGTGTAGCAATTCTATGAATAAATGTTTGAGACACTTTTAAGCTGTTTTACTTTAGTTTTTGATGGAGCGGAGAGAGTGGTGAGGAGAAGAGAGGAGACGGTAGAGAAGGACAGGGAGGAAAGGAACTTAGCATGTCTGACATGAAGGTTTGTGTACTTTGTATAACCCCAATATTTGTTACTGAAAACTGTGAGAAGGGTTCACTTGCACAAACACCCAACTAGGAAAATGGAGAAACATTCATAAATCACAATTGGTGGAGAGGGATACTACATAGCAACAAAAAGACTGCATTCTTTTGTTACTACTTTGTTTCACTTTCTGTCCAAGAGGTCCAATTAAATTAATGCCTAATATCAATCTCCATAGAGTAGGTTTGGATCTGGAATTAGACTGAGCAGACGCCTGAGGACTAATCAAGGAAGTAATTGACAACAGTCTTTTCTGAGGGCTCTGAGCACTCCCAGTGAGGCCAATGAGACTTCAATACAGTGGTGCTCGGCTTTTGATGCACCAAATTTGATTTTGTGCACTGATTTTGAAGCACATTGTAATCACCTTATGATCTTTAAAAAATATTGATTCCCTGTATTTTGCCATAACAAAAAGTACTGATTCTTGGACTCTAGCCACAGTTGTTCTGATTTAACTGGACTGGGATGGAAGTAGGACAATAAGAAGATTTAAAAGCTCCACATGTGAGTCTGATATGTAGCCAAGTTTGGGAATCATTGCTTTAACTGTATGTGAGGTCCTGCTTGCTGAAGTGACAGGAAGATGTTTTTGTATCTTTTCCTTCTTATTCTCCTTGAATCATCCAATTTTATTCAACCATATGCCAGAGAAGATTCTGGAACATATAAAATATTGCATATGTATCTAGTCATAGCACAGCTAGCTACAATAGAATCTTCTCTCAAATCAGTAATGCCAGTAATTAATCATCTTGCCAATGAGCTTTGAGCTGATTTATCTGCTGAGTATAATCCATATCACATCCCATCTTTTACCTTGACACACATTTATAGGCCCTCACCCTCTCACCCACCAACATTTCCACATTTTAGTGTCTTTCTTGATTTGACACATGAACAGAAAATTCATTTTTAAACTCACCCTTACAATAATAGCTTTTGCAATTGTTCGCCATTTCTATAAATAAATTTTCTGCAGTTCTCTTTTATAGTCTCCTTTTAATGGATATGAGACCTACCTATTACTACAAATATTCTACTAATATAACACCTTTCTGCTATAACTCTTCTCTAGACCGTTCTTTTTCTTGGATCCCATTAGTATGGAGAAGCAGAGAGCTACCAACCACTGTTGAAGAAGACCTGGGTCTAGACACCTGCAATATACTCAAAGTCAGGGATGAAAACATTGAATTCTATCTACATTTTCCTGGTAGCAATAATACATAAGTAACTTAACATAAACTTTCAGATAATAGGAATAGTGCTTTCATGTCATGGTGGACATTTAGAATCCCCAGATGGTCCCTATTTCTGAAAACATAAGAAGCATAAATAACAGCAGAAGATACTGAGGATATACCCTAGGAAGAACTTTTTGAGTATAAAGATATTACCCTTATGTCCCTCAAATGACATAGTTAGCATCAATGGTTTAGTCAACCCCCAGAGAGATTCTCCAGTTGGATTTTTGTCAAATTCAACTGTGTCTGTTTTTCCCTCTGAAATCCCTTGGCTGAAGCTATAGTCAACAATCTGGAAGACTTCATCCTGGAAGTGGAGGAATGAGACAAGGCAATGAGTAGAGTCTCTCCTGTCATGCAAACAACCATCTATTTAGTCCAATATAATGAAATTTGGAAACAGTTTCTAAAAGAAGGATCTCTGAGAATGATGGTTTCCAGGTTCATCCATGTCCCTACAAAGGACACGAACTCATCGTTTTTGATGGCTGCATAATATTCCATGGTGTATATGTACCACATTTTCCCTGTCCATTCTATTATCGATGGGCATTTGGGTTGGTTCCAGGTCTTTGCTATTGTAAACAGTGCTGCTATGAACATTTGTGTGCATGTGTCCTTATAGTAGAATGATTTATAATCCTTTGAATATAGATATAGGTGAAGGGGAGGAAGGCAGCAAATCACACTGCCATGTGTGTACCTATGCAACAATCTTGCATGTTCTTCACATGTACCCCAAAACATAAAATGCAATTAAAAGAAAAAGAAGGATCTCTCTGGCTACAAAATGGGCAGTAACATGGTTCTCTGTTCTGTCCCCCTTTTTCTTCCTCTTCCTCAGTAAGCTACTTTAAGGCAGAAACTATGTCCTATTAATTTCTCTTTTCCCTTCCAGGGCCTAGAACAGAGCCTTACCCATAGAATAGATATGGGAAAACTCTGGATGGGAAATAATTGATAGGTTTTTCTTTTGATTCCACAGGCTTTGATTTCTTTACTAATAGAGCTCATGCTCTATTAGTTTTTGATTGAGCACAAAGATCTTGTGCATTCACTTCTCTCTTTTGTCTTTCCCTCTGTGGTATCGTTTTCCTATTCTGCCTCACTTAAAAAAGTTTGCAAACAAAATTTCTTACGCCTGTTCCCTCAGTGCCTTCGTCTTGGGCACTTTGTCATTTTACTCTTGAACTGTAGGCTGGCAGTGTTCTCGATCGGCCAGCATACATGGGGGAAACCATCCCCATAATTCAATTACCTCCACCTGGTCTTGCCTTGATATATGGGGATTATGGGGATTACAATTCAAGGTGAGATTGGGGTGGGGACACAGAGCCAAACCATATCACCTATAAATTTTGTAGACGTTTCCCACTATCTTTCTTCTTTTCTATAGGACATTGAAAGTCTGCATGACTATCTTACAATTTTAACAATTATATTAATGTAGAAAGTTGTTCTGTATCTGGAATGTTTTTGCCTGAAATATTGGATTCAAATATAATCATGGTCTTTTCCATTAATGGATTTATTTTATTTTATGTATTTGGGGATAGGATAATTGGGCATTAGCTTCTTTAGCAAGTGAGCCTGGCAATGTGTCTGAAGGGAGAAACCTTAAGGGGGCATATTCTGTGTTCTGAAGTTTTGTGTCTTCTCCTTCAAGTACAGAAATAGCTCTAAATAATCATCTGCTCTCGATGAAAACCCAGCTATTTAAAACACAGCTCTAGTTTCAGAGACATGCTATTTGCTGATTAAGCTTGGGAGTAAATTGTGTCTTTTGGGGAATTGATTATAGTCTGGATTATTATTAAATGATACTCAGTCTGTTCTGAAAATGGGATGTTTATGGATAAGTGCAGTGGCCTTGAGTATATTGAACACGTAAGTGCCTGAATATGGGCACACTATATTAAGCCTAAGGAATGGTTCTGGAAAGTGGGAAATGAACAAGAGCTAAAATATATTTGTGCCAAAACCCAGGTCTGAATGAGTACAGCTAATATGGTACAGATGGAGTAGATGCTTTTACTACCGTTCCATGAGAGAAAATAAATAGCACCATGAACTGCAGTAGCCAGCTCTATTATAGACATACATCAAGTCTTGTTTGGGCTTTACTCCTATTAGCTGTGTTACTAGTATGCTCAACTAGGGTCAGCTATACTGGGCTAGAGTGAGACTTGTTTGGCTTACTGTAATCTTGAGGTGTTTGGTAGGCTGGAGTGGCTTTGCAAGGCTGGAGTAGCCTGCCTTAGCTCATGCTCCATTTGAGGTATGCTCTTATAAAAGAGGCTTGAGCAAGCTCCCTAGCCCTTTCCATCATGTGAGGACATAGAAGGCAACATTTATGAGGAATGGACCCTCACCAGTCACTGAACCTGGTGGTGCCTTGATCTTAGACTTCCCAGACTCCAGAACTGTGAGCAATGAATTTATGTTCTTTATAAATTACTCAGTCTAAGGTATTTTATTGTAACAACCTGAATAGACTAAGACAGTATTAATTTCCAATTTGGCAAATATGTGATATGTGCTAAGATTAATCCATTCATGCAAAACTTGATGTTTAGTGAGCAACATCTGAGTAATAAACCTTTCAGAAGCCCCAGGGTTAGGAAGGAATATACAAAAGTAAAACAAATGGTTACAGTGAAGGAAAATAAATGCAAAGAGTGTATCAAATGATATCAGTTATCTGCAAATATGAGACACTTAACGCAATAAAAATTTATCTCTCATTCACACAAAGTTTATTGTGGATCCAGGCAACTCTCCAGGGCAGTGGTCCTCCATATATTAGCTTGTCATTCCAGACTTTTTCAATATTATTGTAGCACTGCAATGCGTGTTTTTATGATCATCATGGCATGGAGGATCTTACATTAGACATTAATTATTCCAGCCATAAGAGACACATATTACTTTCTCCCACATCCAGAACCATTCATATTACCCTTCACTACTTTAAAAAGGCAGGTGAGTGGAAGCACAATCATCCTATGTTCCTAGAAGTGGAAAAGTGTTGGATATTGCAACATTTGTAACTTACTACAGGTAAGGGTAAGCCCAGTGTGAGAACTTAGCTCTTGTGAACGTCAGGGATCTCTAAGGGCCCTATCTAAGCTTTGTTTTTTTTTGGTATTCTACTGTCATTTTCAATGATATCTAAATGGATAGACTCTGAATCTGTATCCAGGATGTTCTCTGTGAAGAAATAGCACAGATGAGAAGTTTTTGAGGGGTCTTCCTTTCTCAGAAGTGGTAAGTTGGCTGTCATTCAGAGTACCACACTGGACTCTCTCTGAGCTAAGACAAAAGCCTTTCCTGACATTCTGCTTTTCTACTTTATTTCACTTAGATGCAGTGACTGAGGTGAAGACTGACATCTATGTGACCAGTTTTGGCCCTGTGTCAGATACTGACATGGTAAGTATGGTTCTTGCAAAGGTAAATATGAAAGAGGATGCAAGAGACTAAAGAAAATAAATTGGGAGCTTTCCTATGGCAAGACCTTGTAGCTATATTCTAAGGAGTGGTCTTTTCTCATATGAATTTCCTACTCTTGCCACCCTACATTTAGCCAAATCTATCTATTCCCTGCTTTCACCACCTATTGACATATAAAGTATATACCCCATTTCAGGAGTACCCTTATTTTTGTCCCATGACAAATAATTCAATACTTGGCTTGACTCCCTATCCTCAATTAAACCTTACCTGACTTCTCCCTTCACACTCTACTGGCACCACACATATTGGTACAGATAGGTCATATGAAGAGAAAATTGTGGTGGGGATTCTCAGTAAAGCAGCTGGTGGTGTCATCCAAGAAATCTGTTCCTTGCAACTAGGCTTCATCCACTAGGGACACGGAATGGCCAGAATTATACAAATAGTTTGGAGAAAGAGTCTAAATCACTTCTGGAAACTATTTTTGGTACAGATTTGGGCATGGAGAGAGCTTAATTGCAGACTCAAAATATAGGACAGGGCACAGAAGAGCTAGCAAGGGGGTGGCCCCTTTTCTCATCATTATCCATTGTATTCAAAACAAATAATGCAGTGGAGAGTTGAAGCAGAAGACCCCACCCAAATAGACAATCTATGCATATCTACTATCAAATATTTAATTGAATAATTATGATTTAGAGACACAAAGAAGTGTGTATTTGTATACCTGGCCATTATTAGATGGTCAGTAAGTTTTTGTTGAATGACTGACTTTGTGTTGCAAATAAAAATCCTAGTATCAGGGAAAATATGTTTGAAGAAAATGAAATGCCCATGTTCACTACTTAGAGCTTTTTGCTGTATGTCTATTTTCAGTGGGTTTACTACTTGGCAGGGGACAAAGCTTCTTTCCACCTGTTGGATGAACACAAACAGTTGTATAGGGAAGTAGTAGAGGTTTTCTTATAGGTAATGCAGAACCATTGGGTGGATTTTGTTAGGACAGTAAAATTATATGTGTTGTTTTGGAATGATTGATCTGGTGATCTGTGCAGGATGGACTACAAGGGGGAAAAGACTGGAGCCTAAGGGTTGATTTAGACATGTTGATTTTACATGATTTTTCAAGCAGCTGCAAGGTCTAGGAGTCAGTTGGGTAAGCCAGCTAGTTCTCAGTATGCAAATGTTTGGAAGGCCAGGCATGGGCAAAGGAGAGGTCTGAACTTTATCTTTCAAGTGTAAAATAAAGCGAAGGGTACATTAGACTTCCTTTGAACTCTTCCAGGGCAAGTATCAGGTCTCCATGGCTTCTTTGGCACTTAACAGCATTTGACACACAGGGAGAGCTCATTAAGGGCCATATATGATATATAAGAAGTGGAGGAGGTGGCTCTCCCTTAGGGACAGCAAGAAAACCTGTATGTCTTGTTTGCCCTCTGTCGACCTGTTGACTAGTAAGTCCCACAGGCATACGTTAAAATCTAGGTAGGTGTTAAAATTGTTGCCAGTTGGTCATTCAACAAGTACTTTAGGGAGTACTTACTGGGCTCCTAAGGGAGCCCAACTATGTATTAAAGGGCTCTGAATATAGCGAGCTATATTCAGAGATCTCATAGGTCATTGGAGGTGACCATACTTACCAGGGATATGTAGCTCTTTTTCTATTGAAGTTGGGAATTAATTATGAATTAGGATTTTTATAAAAAGGATAAAGTGACTCTTTTCATACACACACACACTCACTCACTCATTTTCATTCATGCACCAACAACTCTAAATAACATTCAGACAAATATATATACACATAATAAATACATATAGAGTACACAGCCCACACACTATTCTAGATATTCTATAGACACACACATGCAAACAGATATGTAAACTCAGGGATACCAGAGAAGCACACACGCAGTACCTGTCCCAATCAGCTCCTCACTGTGCTGCTTCCTCACCAAAGCAGGCATGTGTGGGTGTGCCCAGGCTCTGGAGACATTTCTAACAATTGAGACTTTCTCACTATCTCTCTTGAAGTTTCATGTTCAATTTGCTTGTTTGTTTTTCTTTCTCATTATTTAGCTGAAGCAACAGAATGGCACCTTCCTGATAGAGAAGGAAGACTTTGGTCAAATAAATTTCACATTATTTTTAGCTGCACGTCCATCCTGTTGCAAGGCAGAATAGCTACAATCAGTCTGACTGGAAAGCATATTTCAGGTGTTTTAAGAAATGTTTTGTTTCTGTTCTATTAAGTAGACTGTTGCAATTGATCCCAGGGTCAGGGATGAAATTGGGTAAAGTATTAGGCAGTCTTCTTTTATTTTATTTTATTATTTTTTTATTGCATTTTAGGTTTTGGGGTACATGTGAAGAACATGCAAGATTGTTGCATAGGTACACACATGGCAGTGTGGTGTGCTGCCTTCCGTCCCCTCACCTGTATCTGTCATTTCTCCCCATGCTATCTCTTCCCACCTTCCCACCCCCCGTCCCTCCCCCATTTCCCTGCAACGGACCCCAGTGTGTAGTGCTCCCCTCCCTGTGTCCATGTGTTCTCATTGTTCAACACCCGCCTATGAGTGAGAATATATGGTGTTTGATTTTCTGCTCTTGTGTCAGTTTGCTGAGAATGATGGTTTCCAGGTTCATCCATGTCCCTACAAAGGACGTGAACTCCTCGTTTTTGATGGCTGCATAATATTCTATGGTGTATATGTACCACATTTTCCCTATCCAGTCTATCATCGTTGGGCATTTGGGTTGGTTCCAGGTCTTTGCTATTGTAAACAGTGCTGCAATGAACATTCGTGTGCTTCTGACTTTGGCAACTAGTTGCCTCAAGAACCTGGGCTCCCCTGATACCACAGACTACTTGGAACAGTAGATGAAAAGTTGGGCTGCCTGGGTTCTTGGCTCACTACCAGGAAAAGAGGGAGTTTTGGTCTAAAATACTTTCCTAAGGAAATAGAGGCAGTTTTTTGTTCACAAAGGAGGAAATTTATGCTGCCAGCTCGAATATTTGCACCCATTACATTCATTGGCCACACACTGACCCTTACAGATGCAGCTCCTTAGCTTTTTTCACAAAAAGCTTCATAAAGATATAAGCCATGTCTGTTTTGTTCATCTCAATACCATAAAGTGTCTGACTCAGTGTTTGGTACACTGTAGACTCCTTTTTATTAAGTGCAAGAAGAAATGAAACAGAACAAATTAAATTTGAGGGAAAAATAATGACTATGTTCCTCCACTTGGTTGAAAATTTTTCAAAGACAGAAAACATGTCAGGGACATCTCTTTCTCCAGCATTTACCACAGAACCTGATGGAGGTCCTCGGCATGTGTTTTCTGAGATGATATTAAACATTAGTAGCAAGCCCTGCAGATAAAGAGTGAAAACATCTTTTCTCAGGAGGTAATAGTGAGTATTAAGACTGGGGAGTCAATGATGGATGATTCCAAGCTTCAGCTACTAGGTTTGGTGGCTTCTCTATTCATGAAAATAAGAAACCGTGACAATAAGGGAGCTGAGCAAAGATGAAAGCTAAACAGTGGTAGATGTTTCTAAGGAGAAAGCCAGAGGAAAAATAGAAATTTAATTCAGAGTACAAGAGATAAGTTGGAAAATGGTTGCCCTGGCAGTTTTATAGGCTTGTGGTAAGCCTTTTGTTAATCATTTGCAACAAATTGAGCTTCCTGTTTACGCCAAGTGTTTAGCTCCTCAGTAGTAATGCCAATCCTGTGTCCATGATCTCCTAGGAGAGAAACAGAACAAAAGAAACTATTCCGGTTTGAGACAACTGGGGCCATGTGACCTTCTATAATTATCTATTATTAGGAGAGTTTGGACCATTTTCTCCATCATATGTCTGGGAAGAGGGTGGAAGTCACAATAAGAGAAAGGTTGCCAAGAATTACAATGCAGAGTAGGGAAGTGGCTTAGCAATATCATTCTAGGCATATTGTTGGTCACTGGAAAGGAAAGCAGAAAGGTAACAGCTGAGAAAAACATTGGCTGCTTTTCTATCTGGTTCATATTCTCCTCTGACTTAGCTTCCATCTCAGCTCTGAGGATCTTAAGGCTCTAGGCACTGCTCCACCTTCTCTTCTAGTCCTTGAGCATGTCAGAGGTGCAGGGTCCCACGGTATGTATTCAACAAATATTTATCTGAAATATGCCAAGAAAACTAGTGAGAAAATAAAGAGGGGAAAGAGGAGTAATGTTAGAAGAGTCAGGGAGATAATAACTGGGAAACTTAATATGCAGATTTTAGGTATTATCAGCCTCACCCTCTCCCTAGAAATACTTTGCTTAGATCCCACTAGGTGCCAGCTAGTGCCACTAGTGTCAGCTGCCACAGAGCAATTTCCTAGGGTATATAGTGGACAATCAGGTAATGGTGCAAGTATATAATGCAATAAAAGAACTAACCATCTAGCTTAATAAGAAGAATAAAATGGAAGCCTGGGAAATAAAAACACAGAATATAAGCTTATGAAAATTATGCAGTTATCTTTGTATCCAAACACCATGTAGGAAAAAAAAAAAAAAAAAAAAAAAAAAAAAAAAAAAAAAAAAAAAAAACTGTGTTGATTAAAAGACAGTAGCACAGGGCCCTCTTTCCTATTGACAGTAGACTTGAAATTATTGTACCTGTTTCCTCTCTAGTACTGGAAAAAGTAGCTATGTCTACTTCAAGCTTTTCCTTACTGGCAGTCTGAGGCACAGACTGGATGAGAACCTTTGTCTATTTTAGGCTGTCAATTCTTCTTATTCCACAGAATATGGCATTTCTAGATGCAATATAGCAAGGAGCCCATATCCATGAGCTTTATCTGGGATTCTATGACCAGGAATCTCCTCGGATATTTTTATGTAACATAGGCAATGGGGACATAAAAACAATGCCAATAAGACTAATTCATGGGCTAAATATATCTGAAATAAGGATATCAATTATGATTCTTCAAAACAG